TAGGTCTATTTGTGGTTCACAATGACTGGGAATGTGTTTAGTCTTACTAGCTTATAGACACTGGAGATGGGCAAGTATGGAAGTTTTGCTTTTCTTTGCCCCACCATTATTCAATCACCTTGGCCATGAATACATCTGAAGGGCAGAATTGAAACTTATCCGTTTTGACCATTTGATCCATTCTGGAGCATACCAACAGGTTCTAAAAGGGTTTGATTCACCAGAGGAAGCCTGTTGAACTTCAACTTGGTTTAGACCAATACAACTTTGGTTCACAACTCTTGCCATTCAAGATACAAGTCCTGTTGGCCATGCGAGATGGGGTTGAAGTACTTCTCTTGAGGTCCCATGAACTACCGGTGGAAGAATTGATGTCTTCAAGGCATCTCACCAATTGGTGTACAACCAATGGAGACCTTCATCATTCATGGTACTCCCCATTTTGGAATGGTCTCCCCTTGGCACCAACATGGTTTCTTTTAGACACCAAGTCCAAAACATGGCTTCTTACTAGAACTTTTGGAGATTAATGTACTTCAAAATGTGCATGTACCTCATTTTAAGAGAGCTGGTGGTTGGATCATTGGATGAAGACTCTACAGCAGTGGTTGTCAACCCAGATGTTTTGGCCTTCAACTCCTAGAAATCCTAACAGCTGGTAAACCAGCTGGGATTTCTGGGAGTTGTAGGCCAAAACACCTGGGGATCCACAGGTTGAGAACCACTGCTCTAGACAATCTCAATTTAGTCATGGTGACCTAGTTGACCTTGGACAAGTCACACTCTCCTAGCCTCAAGGGAAAACAAAGACATACTCTCTCTAAATGCCTGGCTCGAGAGCAGTACGTGTGAAAAAGATCTTGGAGTCCTCGTGGGCCACAAGTTAAACATGAGCCAACAATGTGATGTGGTGGCAAAAAAAGCCAATGGGATTTTGGCCTGCATCAAGAGGAGTAGAGTGTCTAGATCTAGGGAAGTCATACTCCCCATGCTCTATTTTGCCGTGGTTAGACCACACCTGGAATATTGTGTCCAATTATGGGCACCACAATTGAAGGGAGATATTGAGAAGCTGGAATGTGTCCAGAGGAAGGCGACTAAAATGATCAAGGGTCTGGAGAACAAGCCCTATGAGGAGCGGCTTAAAAAGCTGGGCATGTTTAGTCTGAAGAAGAGAAGGCTGAGAGGAGATATGATTGCCATGTATAAATATGTGAGAGGAAGCCACAGGGAGGAGGGAGCAAGGATGCAATGGAACAATGACTTCAAACTACAAGAAAGGAGATTCCATCCGAACATTAGGAAGGACTTCCTCACTGTGAGAGCAGTGGAACTCTGCCCTGGAGTGTGGTGGTGGCTCCGTCTTTAGAAGCTTTTAAACAGAGGCTGGATGGCCATCTGTCACGGGTGTTTTGAATGCAACATTCCTGCTTCTTGGCAGAATGGGGTTGGACTGGATGGCCCATGAGGTCTCTTCCAACTCTTTGATTCTATGATTCTAAGGCATCTCACCAATTGGTGTACAACCAATGGAGACCTTCATCATTCATGGTACTCCCCATTTTGGAATGGTCTCCCCTTGGAAATCTGGTTGACACCAAAATGGTTTCTTTTAGACACCAAGTCCAAAACATGGCTTCTTACTCGAACTTTTGGAGATAAATGTACTTCAAAATGTGCATGTATCTCATTTTAAGAGAGCTGGTGGTTGGATCATTGGATGAAGATTCTACAGCAGTGGTTCTCAACCCAAATGTTTTGGCCTTCAACTCTCAGAAATCCTATCAGCTGGTAAAATGGCTGGGATTTCCGGGAGTTGTAAACCAAAAACATCTGGGGACCCACAGGTTGAGAACCACTGCTCTAGACAATCTCAATTCAGCCATGGAAACCTAGTTGACCTTGGACAAGTCACACTCTTTTCAAGGGAAAACAAAGACATACTCTCTCTGAATAAACCTTACCAAGAAAACTCCACGATAGGACTTAGATGTTGGGAGTATAGCAAGTAAACTGGTGTCTCAGTGGTGAAGAGATGTGTTTTCTCATACCTGTAGCTGGAACAAAATGGAGACGTGGTTTGAATTCTACAATCTTGATGAATTGCAAAGAGATATACCAGAGGCACTGCAGCAAAGGTTCCCAATTTGCAAACCACATGAACAGACAGGGGTGGGAATTAGTAGTTACTCATTTTCAATGGTGAATATAATAGAGAGTAATGATGGTTGAGCAGTATAGAAATAAACTATAATTATGAGAAAACCGAGACTTGCTCTACACCAGTGGTTCTCAACCGTCCTAATGCCAGGGCCCCTTAATACATTTCCTCCTGTTGTGGTGATCCCCAACCATAACATTATTTTCATTGCTATTTCATAACTATAATTTTGCTCTTGTTATGAACGTAATGTAAATATCTGATATTCAGGATTTTGTCATTTGGGAGTTGTAGTAGCTGGGATTTATAGTCCACCTACAATCAAAGAGTATTCCGAACTCCACCATGACCAACAGAAAATACTGGGTTTGGTGGGCTTTGACCTTGAGTTTTGGAGTTGTAGTTCACCTTCATTCAGAGAGCACTGTGGACTCAAACAAAGATGGATCCGGACCAAACTGGGCACAAATATTCAATATGCCCAAAGGTGACCACTGGTGGAGTTTGAGGAAAATAGACCTTGACATTTGGGAGTTGTAGTTGCTGGGATTTATAATTCACCTGTAATCAAAGATAGAATTTGACCAAACTTCCCACACAGAACTCCCATGACTAATAGAAAATATCATGTTTTCTGATTGTCTTTGACAACCCTTCTGACATGTTCTTGCGACCACCCCCAGGGGTCCGGACCCCCAGGTTGAGAAACACTGTCGTATGAATGCAGTTTGATACCACTTGAACTGCTATGACTACATGCTATGGAATCCTGGGTGTTGTAGTTTGATGAAGTTTGGCGGAGAAGTCAAAAGTCAAAACCCTTGTCAAATTAAAGCTTCCTTAGAGAATGATGGAGGCTACCAGAAGGCTAAGAGTTGTACACATATGTCCACCAAATATTCCCTCATTCCACACTTGGTTGTAGGTTACATGCAAAGTTGAGAAACCATCTCCTAATAGCTTGCATCTTACATGAAAAAGAGAAATCAAGAGAACCTTGGTTTAGAAGCAGAAAGGAAAGAAACAGTCTGAGGAGCATCAGGTTCTTTTTATAGGTTCTATTAGCCACAAACTAGAGAAGAAGACACCCAGTTCTGGCGTGAGGATTAGGAACTATAAATCCAAATTGCTTTGTTTGCCTTCTTGATTTTAGGCCTTTGTCAGTCATTTGGGAGCTGCCCTCTGAGATACATTATCTTTCCCATCTCTCCTTTGGTAGAATTGCCTTGAGGTTCCACCAAGAATTAAGTTGGGCTTTGTCATTTCACACTTCCCTCTATCTCGTCTTGAAGAAGCAGAGTGTCAGCAACATCCCTCTGGAAAGTTGCACAAGGTCCTTTTCTTTCTTTCTACAGGCCTTTGGTCCTAACTAACCAAGCCATTGCCTCGATGTTTGGTAAGGTTTTGGAGTTCTTCTGAAGGTCTAAGATTTATAACCACCTGCCCTGACTTCATGACATGATGGACTTTTCCTACTCATAGCACAATATGTTCTTCTAAACATCTCTAGAAAGTCTGCATCAACAACCAATACACATTGTCAAAAGCTTTTTCTGCATCCCAAAATATCAAAGCCACTACTTTTCATTAGGGGTTTCATACTATTCTAGATGGTTTCACATTCTTGCTTCTTTGTACTACTACTGCTTTTAATGAATGGGGTTGGATGTTGGGGTCGAGGTCCCGAAGATCAAGGAATTCAAGTCTGGAATATTTGAGGAGGGAAATTTGGATATCGTTGCCCTTCATCACCAGATACGATCCTTACTATCCACGTTTCTATGTTCCAGAGGATTTAGTGAGAACCTCTTGAGCGATCAATTAAGAGGAAAGGTTCATGAGGTATTTGTCTAGCTGAGGCATTGCTTTGATTTACTCATTTTCAATTGTCGTGAGAGTTCTGGATCTTGGACCTCTCGGATCTATTCAGTTGTCTTTTTGGCAGTATAGTTGGTCCTTTACATTTGTGTGTATATAGTTCCATCTTTTCTTAAATGAATGTCTCCATATTGCTTCCCAAGGAAGGGCAACAGTCTATCTAGACTGTAGAATTAATACAGTTTGACAGCACTTTAACTGCCATAGTAGGGAATGATGGGAGTTGAAGTTTGACAAAATATTTAGCCAAAAAGTCCTGGAGCCCCACCAAAATACAGATGCCCCCTGTAGTTCAGTAGTTGAAGCTGAAGATCAATCCCGATAAGACAGAGGTCCTCCTGGTCGATCGTAAACCGGATCGGGGTATAGGGTGGCGCGGATCGAGATAGACACGTGTCTGCGCCTTCACACGGGTTTTGCTTCAGGAAGGACCGCACGCAGCTGGATTCAAGTGCGATGCAAGTTTCCTCCAGAATAAATGTTCTGTTTTCAAGGCAGTGGCTCTCCCGTTTGTTGCACGTGTGTTTTGCGTGTTGTTGCATTCACACGTGTTTGGAGGTTTCTCCTTTTCTCAGGAAGGAGGGAAAAACGATGGGCTTTTCAGCTTTCAAAGAGATAATAGACGGATAAGGATTGCCTTTCAATCTTCCCTCCTTTTCCTTTACTTTTCCCTTCCTTCCTTCCTTCCTTCCTTCCTTCCTTCCTTCCTTCCTTCCTTCCTTCCTTCCTTCCTTCCTTCCTTCCTTCCTTCCTTCCTTCCTTCCTTCCTTCCTTCCTTCCTTCCTTCCTTCTTGCGAATTGCCTTCAACTCTTTCCCTCCCTTCTCCTCTTTCCCTTCTTTTTTCTTTGCGCCTGATGATGTGATCCCCCTCCTTCCTCCCCTTCCTGGCGGCTCTCCTCCTCTCCTTCCTCCTCCTCCTCTCCTTCCTCATCCTCTGCTTCCTTCTCTCTTCCAGGTCCCAATCCCACTCTTCCGCCATGGACTGCAACTGTGTCTCGGATCTGCTCCTCACTTCCCCCGTCCCCGCACTCTGGACGCCAGGTAAGAGCAGACAGGCTTTCCTTTCCTTCCTCTTCCCTTCCTTTCTTACTCTTCCCTTCCCTCCCTCCCTCCTTCTTGCTTCCCCTTTTTCTCCTTTCTTCATATTTTCCTCCCCCTTCCTTCACTTTTTCCCTTCCTTCCTTTTTCCTCTTCCCTTCCCTCCCTCCTCCTTCTTGCTTCCCTTTCTTTCTTCTTCATCTTTTCCTTCCCTCCTTCCCTTCTTTTCCTCTTCCTCTTTTCCCCTTCTTTCCTTTCCTTCCTCTTCCTTCCTCTCCCTCCCTCCCCTCCCTTCTCCTTTTCCCTTTCTCCTTCCTTCCTTCCTTCTCTTCCTTCCTTCCTCCTTCCCTTCCTCCCTTCCTCTTTTCTTCCTTCCTCCTTTCCCTTCTCTTCCTTTCCTTCCTTCTTCCTTCCTTCCTTTTCCTTCCTTCCTTCCTCTTCCTTACTTCCTTTCTCTTCCTTCCTCCTCCTCCTTCCTTTCTTCCTTTTCCCCTTTCTTTTTTTTTCTTTCTTTCTTTCTTTCTTTCTTTCTTTCTTTCTTTTTTCTTCTTTCTTCCTTTTCCATCCCTCTTCTTCCTCCCTCCCCTTCCCTTCCTTCCTTCCTCTCCCTCCCTCCCCCCTCCCTCCTTCCTTCCTTCCTTCCTTCCTTCCTTCCTTCCTTCCTTCCTTCCTTCCTTCCTTCCTTCCTTCCTTCCTCTTTCTTTCCTTTTCTTTCTTCTTTCTTTCTTTCTTTCCTCTTCTTTCCTCTTCCCCTCCCCTCCTTCCCTCCCTCCCTTCCCTCCTTCTTTCCCTCCCTTCCTTCCTTTCCCCTTCCCTCTTTCCTTCCTTTTTCCTTCTTTCCCTTCCTTCCTCCTTTCCTTCCTTCCTTCCTCCTTCTTTCTTTCCTTCCTTCCTCTTCCTCTCCTTCCCTCTCCTCCTCTTTTCCCCTTCCTTCCTTCTTCCTTCCTTCCTTTCCTTCCTTCCTTCTTCCCTTATTCCTTCCCTTCTTCTTCCTTCCTCCTCTTCTTCTTCTTCCCCTCACTTCCCTTCCCTCCCTCCAAGCCAGGGAGGCCTACCTGGCAGGGCTGGCAAACAGACCCTGGGGGAGCTTCCGCCTCACCTTCCAAGCCCCTCCCCAGGGGTCTGCAGGTAGGGCATCCTTGATGAGAAACTCACCTTTCCGCTCCATCTTTTGCGTGCATCTTTTGGCTGGGTCTTTTGGGTGAGCGCCTACAGATACAGCTATTCGTTTATCCAAAGCGCACGCCATAAGCGCATGCACTTTAAGATGAGCATCCCTCGCCAGAAACATTGTGGAATTTTTATTTCTTCAGATTTTGAGATATTTGTCCATGGAGCCCAAGTCTAAACAGGAAATTCCGTCAATGTTTCCTAGACACCTTTTGCACCAGCACAGAAGGACATCTTATGCATTGACTCTTTTGGCGCATGAAGCAAAGTTTGGGGACATTGAACCCTCAGGAAGGTGTCTTTCCGTCTGGCAGAACAGGGTTGGCCTGGATGGCCTTTGGGGTCCCTTCTATGATATATAAAGTGTTACACGGTCCATATTTATCATTGCTCATAAGAAATACAGTGTTAATTTGCTTTACTTTAATGATCATGTTCACTATTGTGTGGCATGCCCGTTTATGATATGCAAGATAGTACAGCAGTGTGCCATTTCCACCATTGTATGCAATTGACTTCTATGGCATGCACAACTGTATGGTGTGCCATTTCCACCATTGCGTGGCATGCACTTTTATGACATGCACTTTTGTATGGCATGCACTTTTTTGGCATGCACAATAGTATGGTGTGCCATTTCCACCACTGTACGGCATGCACTTTTATGCCATGCACTTTTGTACGGTGTGCCATTTCCACCATTGTGTGGCATGCACTTTTATGGTGTACACTTTTGTATGGCATGCAATTGTATGGTATGCACCATAGTATGGTGTGCCATTTCCACCACTGTATGACATGCACTTTTATGGCATGCACTTTTGTACGGTGTGCCATTTCCACAACTGTATGGAATGCACGTTTATGGCACGTACTATTATATGGTGTATCATTTCCACCATTGTATGCAATGCACTTATATGGCATGCACAACTGTATGGTGTGCCATTTACACCATTGCATGGCATGCACTTTTATGACATGTACTTTTGTATGGTATGCACTTTTATGGCATGCACTTTTGAATTGTGTGCCATTTCCACAACTGTATGGAATGCACATTTATGGCATGCACTGTTGTATGGTGTGTCATTTCCACCATTGTATGCAATGCACTTTTATGGTATGCACAACTGTACATACCATTTCTACCATTGTACGGCACACACTTTTGTAGCCTGCATGACTGTATGGTGTGCCATTTACACCATTACATGGTATGTACTTTTACGCTGTGCACTTTTGTATGGAATGCACTTTTATGGCCTGCATGACTGTCTAGTGTGCCATTTGCACCATTGTGTGCCATGCATTTTTATGGCATGCACTTTTGTACGATGTGCTATTTCCACCATTGTATGCAATGCACTTTTATAGCATGCATGACTATATGGTGTGCAATTTCTACCATTGTATGGCATACACTTTTATGTCGTGCATGCCATTTACACCATTGTGTGGCATGCACTTTGGTATGGAATGCACTTTTATAGCATGCACGATGATACAGTGTGCCATTTCCACCATTTTAGGCATGCACTTTTATGGCATGCACAACTGTATGGGGTGTCATTCACACCATTGCATGGCATGCGCTTTTATGGTGTTCACTTTTGTATGGCATGCACTTTTATGGCATGCATGATAATACAGTGTGCCATTTCCACCACTGTAGGCATGCACTTTTATAGCATGCACTTTTGTTCGGTGTGTTATTTCCACCACTGTAGGCATGCACTTTTATGGCATGCATGATAATACAGTGTGCCATTTCCACCATTGCAGGCATGCACTTTTATGGCGTGCACTTTTGTTTGGTGTGTCATTTCCACTATTGTATGCAATGCACTTTTATGGCGTGCACTTTTGTTCGGTGTGATATTTTCTACCATTGTATGCAATGCACTTTTATGGTGTGCACTTTTGTTCGGTGTGTCATTTCTACCCTTGTATGCCATGCGCTTTGATGGCGTGCACTTTTGTGTGGCGTGCCATTTCCGCCATTGCGCTAATTGTAACTTTGGCTAAGCTGCCTTGTGGATAAATTCAAACGCCGAGACATTGCAAAGGCGCTTATTTATTTATGGGAAACGGTCTCCATTCCTCCCTCGTTCGGAAAAACCCTTGGAGGGCCACCGATAAATGTAAAACATCCCGCTTCGTTTCGGGAGAATTTGATTTTGCAAACACACATTGATTGGGGTGGGGGTGGGGGTGGGGGTGGGGGATGCGACGAAGAGCGCACCCGATCAGCATAGTCTGCCCCCCCCCCCCCCCCCACTTTGGTTGATGCATCTCCCAATTAGGTTTCCCTTTTTGGACCCCAGCAATAATCCCATTCCCCTTCAGATCCCCCTTTTCTTTCTTGTTCTTCCTTTGCATTGAAATCTGCCCCTTGGGCCTCGTGCGGCATCCTCCTCCTCCTCCTCATCCTCATCCTCCTCATCTCTGGCGCCAGCCGGGCCGGGCCTTGGAGCTGCGAGAGGGAGGCTGCTGCGGGGCAAACGGGGCAATCAAAGGCCTCGCTTTCTCTGACCGCAGGGCACTCTTTGCCCGGACGGCCCCCAAGGACCACCGCCTTGCAGGCCTCATTAGCCGTCCACACGCCTCTTGCAAAGGCAAGGCACATCCAAGGCACATCCAAGGCAAGGCAAGGCCAGGGAGGAAAGAGGAGACGCAGCCTGCATTCGGAAGGGAGGCCCGGCGCCTCTGCCTTGTCTTTGCACGATGGCACTCTTGCTCCATTGAGGCACATGGGCTGGGAGGAGGCCTACCTCGCAGGGTTGTTGGGAAGTAGGATGAGGACATTGGAGAATGGGCTAGAAGGAGGCCTACCTTGAAGTTCATTGGAGAGTAGGCTGACTAGAATGGAGAATGGTCTAGAAGATGGCCTATCTTGCAGGCTGTTGGGGAGTAGGATGGGTGTTATTGTCAATGGGACAAGAGGAGGCCTACCTTGCAGGGATGAGGACATTGGGGAATGGGCCAGTGTTCGATAGGATGAGTATAATGGAGAATGGGCCAGGAGGAGGCCTACCTCACAGGGTTGTTGGGGAGTAGGATGGCCATAATGGAGAATGGTCTAGTAGGAAGCCTACCATGCAGGGTTGTTGGAGAGTAAAGTGAGGACACTTGGGGAGTGGACCAATGTTTGATAGGATGAGTATAATGGAGATTGGACTAGAAGGTGGCCTACCTTGAAGGTTGTTGGAGAGGAGGATGAGTATAATAGAGAATGGACTAGAAGGTGGCCTACCTTGCAGGGTTGTTAAGGAGTACGATGAGGACACTGGGAAATGGACCAATGGTTGATAGTAAAAGTATAATGGAGATTGGACTAGAAGGTGGCCTACCTTGAAGGTTGTTGGAAAGTAGGATGACTAGAATGGAGAATGGTCTAGAACAGGGGTAGGGAACCTTTGGCCCTCCAGCTGTGGTGGACTTTAACTCCCACAATTCCTTGAGGCTCGGCATTCACCCCAAAGGCTTACCTTGGCCCAACGAGGTTTGTTTGGCTCTTTTTCATGGAGGACGGGCGCAAAGGGTGGAGAATGGTCTAGGAGGAAGCCTACCTTGAAGGTTGTTGGAGAGTAGGATGTGGGCTTTGGGGAGTGGAGCAATGTTTGATAGGATGAGTATAATGGAGATTAGACTAGAAGGTGGCCTACCTTGCAGGGTTGTTGCGAAGTAGGATAGCCATAATGGAGAATGATCTAGGAAGAAACCTACCTTGCAGGGTTGTTGGGGAGTAGGATGAAGACATTGCAGAATGGACCAATGTTTGATATGATGAGTATCATGGAGAATGGACTAGAAAGTGACGGACCTCGCAG